GTACCATAGGTTAACCGAAAAGAGGTTTCCTTTGTGGTGGTTTGTAGCGTACACCGATAAGCCCATAAGATCTCAGGTAGTTTCTCTACTCATTCTCCTTTGGCCGAGCCCAACCTTCTTTTTAATTTATGTAAGATAACTTTATTAGCAGCCTCAGCTTGACCATTAGTTTGGGGATGTTCAACGGATGTGACCCTATGTTTGATGTGAAGGCCTTCTAAAAATTCATTAAACCGGCGATCTGTGAATTGCAGCCCATTATCTGTGATTATAGCATGAGGAAGACCGAATCGTGTAACAATGTTTTTCCACGTGAATTTTTGAACATTATTAGCCGTGATGGTTGATGAATCCACTTTTTATTATATTTTTACTTGCCTTTTTGGTGCTCCTTGGTAGAAAAAAATGGACTTAGATAGTGCAAATAATATAGAAATCACATTTTGAGTAAATATCATAGATTTATTAATTTTTGGTTAATTTGCATTTAATTACATAGATATAGATTGCAATTTTAATTGTCTTGATAATTTTGCAGAGTCCTCAAGTTAATTCTGAGATATCTTGGCCTTTGGATGAAAGTTGCCCCCAAAGTAGCCACTTTTAGGAGCAAAAGTGGCAACTACAGCAAGTCTGGGCATTAAAGGTTACAAAGTAGCTACTTTCAAGTGAAAAAGTGGCAACTCCAGAAGCTCCAGGGATGCCATTTTGGAAGCATTTTGCGCGTGGCCACTATTGCCTTTCATAGTGGCTACACGCATCCAAAGTAGCCACTTTCAAGTCCAATAGTAACAACTCCAGAAGCTCCAGGACGGCACTTTTGGAAACATGTTGCGCTTGGCCACTATTGCCTTTCATAGTGGCTACGCGCATCCAAAGTAGCCACTTTCAAGCCCAATAGTGGCAACTCCAGAGAATTGACAAGTTTACGTAAATATGCGCGTGGATACTTTCAAGGCCTAAAGTGGACACTTTCAAAGGTAAAAGTGGACACTTTGCTGACATGTCCTCCACTATAAATAGATTTTAGGAATTAGGGTACGGGGACTTGAACATTTTATTTTCTTTTGATTCTCTTTGCCAAATTAGGACATTTTCTTTCCAGAGCTTTGGAGCCTTGGGTGACAGCCAGGGATCCATTATAGGTTTTAATTTCTAATTTCCCTTTGATTCTCATTGAATTTACATTAATGTTGCTTACGTTTTTGCATTCTCGTCTTTCATTTGTGAAGCCCATCCATATGGAGGGCTAAATTCTCTTGTAATTCCTAGTCAATTCACATGGTTCTTGAATTCTTGGGTTGAATGGCAATATTACTCTTTCTTTCCTTGGATTTATTAACCCCAATCACTAAATGAAATGAAATTTACATGAGGGGAACATTGCTTAATGAACCTTAAATTACCCAAACGAAATTCTAATCCAAAATTGCTTAATTTTGATTAATCTTTGAGATTGCTTAATCTTAGGGATAGAGATTGGAGCCCATTAAGATGCCTAATTTTAATTGGGATGCTAAAGTTAATTTATGCTTGATAGATTAACTTAATTCAAGGGAAAAATAGGGGATTATTGAATCATTTGAAATAATAGGGATATAACTCATTGATTGACTAGGGATTACTCTCCTTAATTAATTGAATTTCACTAGTTTACATTTTGCTCTTGATTAAAATATGGAAATTGACAAACCTCCCCCCAATTTACTTGCTTTAAATTTTATGTTTACACTTGTTCGATGTATGTTCCCAACCATTATCAAGAGATGATAATGGTTGAATAGAATAGGATGAGAACTTTAGGGGATTATGCAATACCTAACATGCAGGGATACAACTCCTCTATAATCAGACCTACAATAAAAGCCAATCATTTTGAAATAAAACCAGCTTTACTTTATTTAGTTTAGCAAGACCAATTTTCTGATTCAATTTTGGATGATCCTAACTTACATATCTCTAACTTTTTGCAGCTTTGTGACACAATAAGGATGAATGGAGTCAGTGAAGATGCAATTAGATTGAGATTATTTCCATTTTTCCTAAGGGATAATGAGATTAGATACTTTGAGTTTTTGAGATTTGGCCAAAATAAGAATTCTTATTTTTTACTTTCTCTCGATTTCTCTCATTCTCTTCTCACTCTTACATGGGTTAAGTGCTTCGATAAAAGGCTAAACCTCCCGTTCAATCCGCAAAATTCAAACGTTGTAATTTCGATGAGTTCTGAGTTGAATTGCTTCGAGTTTGTTCTTTTTCTCTAACGTCAGATTTGTATATTGCGATCGTGATTAACTTTTCTGTTGTTAGAATTTAAATTAGGATTCAATTGATATTCTAATTTGATAATTAATTTGGGTTAGGTTGAATAATAATTTGATTTAATTTGTTATCTAATTCAATTAGGTTATTCGATTGAATTAATAATTGAATTGGATAAACGTTCAAATTCATATTAAAATCTTTAAATACTGTGATAATCAAAATTACACACATTTGTTATTCTGTGGTTTCATATTTCTTTATTTGTTTTCTCCCAAATTTATTTTGTTCGTAATTCAATTTAGTATTTTGCCGATTTAAAAACCTCCAAAATTTACCAGTGTTTTATTAAAAAAAAAACCTAAATTCAATTTAGCTAAAAATGTGTTCCTGTAAATCAACTTAAATTTAGTTCTATACTACAAAATCCTTAGAGAATTTAGTTATTTTGATAGTGACTCGATATCATCTATCAATGAGTGGTGAGAAACGTGAAATGAGATGAACAATGAGAGTTAAAAAAAGGGATGGAGGAGAAGCTAAGGGGCTCATCGGGAGAGAAAATGAGTGAAAAAGCTGAGAGAGGAAGTTTTCAATCAATTTTTAGTCATGCATTAATTTAAATAATTTATTAATTAAATTTAATTGAACAATTTTAATTAATTCTTAACTAAGAATATAATATATTAATTGACTCTTATATGAATTAATTATTTTTTATAATAATAATATATTAAAATTAAATCTTATGTTATAATTTTAATCATGTAATATTATTTATTAAAATCAAAATAATGTTAAATTGGGCCCTTGTATTTAATATTTATATTATTTTAATTCTTTTAACTTAGACTTTATTTTAATTTTTTATATAAAAATTTTACTATTTAGTCTTACATATAATATATTGCTTTTAATTTTGATAGTCAATAAAAAAATATACAAGAGTGAAATTCACAATTTCTTCACATATATATTAAAAGAATAAATAAATCAAGTGCAAAAACTAAAATTATTATTTAACTTAAAATCAATATTAATATTTTTGTCAATGGAAAATACTTTTTATTTGAATTAATATAATTTTTTCTTAAATCATTTATAAGTATCTTCAAGTTATTTTATATTTTAAAAATTTAATTTAATTTTCTGAAAAATTAATTAATTTTTGTAAATAAATAAAATTTTTAATTTTAATTTAAAAATTATATTTTTATGGATTTTGCTGCAAATATTGCTTACACTAATTTTGGCAAAAAAAAAATATAAGATCATTAAGTTTTCTTACAAGTTTATATACAATTCTTTTTCATAAAAATTTTTGTACAAAAAATTACAAAAAAATATTAAGTTTATTTTTATCCTTTTTATTCTTAAGAAACAACGTAGGAAGTTTCTAAGGATTGCTGCAATTTTTTTAAAAAAATTTCTTGTAAAAATGTTGGTAAAAAAAATTGTAGGAAATTATGAGCTTTTTCTTACCTTTTTTATTCCTAAAAATTTTTGTAGGAAATTTAATAAATTGTTGTGAATTAATATACTAATTTTTTTTATAGAAAATAATTAAAAAAATTTAAAATTTATATGAAATTTTGTAAGATTTTTTTTAAAAAAAATCACGAATAATAATCACAATTCTAAGTAATTTCTCCTCCACATGTACTAGGACTTGAGATGCATCTGCCTATAAAAAGTAGTAAACTTTACATACAGGGGCCAAACACCAGTTACTTGAGCATTCACAGCCTTTGCTATTCTTTGCTTAGAGTTGTAAGTTTACATTTCTATACTTTGTTTCCAATTTATTTGTTCAATTTCTTTCTTGCAATTTAATTAGCTTACGGTTTATTTTTGTAATCTTCCTTACATTCAATGTAATAATATTTCACTGTTTTACTAGTTCTGCTTAATCCTCTATTTCACGACATTAATTTAGATTGTTAGGTTAAGAACATATACATTTAAAAAAACTTAAAATGACCTAAAATTCACTCTTAGATTGTTCTTGAATTTATTTGTTTACAATTCCTAAATTTTCACCGTAAATAGGTTGCCAATTTTTCTCTTTAATTATCCATGGACGTAAAAAGAAACCGCAATAGAGTTCCTTTGTACATAGGTGATTTGTGGAACTATTTTGAGAAACCGAGTAACAATAATGAAAATTGATTTAAGCCTTTAAATACAAACGAGAAGAGGACTGTGAAAGATTCACGTATTTTGATTCATCCTGAATTCGAATGGTTATCAAATCACAACAATTCACCCAGTTTTTTGGTACCTATTTTAAGGTCCTACTAAGGCTACCGATTGAATAAAGATTAAATAATATTTAAAAAAAATGTTAAAATGGATTAAAAATATATAAAAATACTGTATTTTTATAATTTATAATTTATTAACCAATGTCTTAACTAGTTATCATTTTCCCTGTTTCAAAATGATAATTGATAAACCATAATCACGTAACAAACATCAAATTCTATCCGTCACTGCTACAAAGTTAAAATTAAGGTGCATCTATCGTTAATTCGAATTAATTTTTTTATAAATTAAATTCTCTTAAAACTATTAGTAAATATACCCCAACTTTTCAGTTTACAGTATACACATATCTTGCTTTCAATTTCAAGGAGCCAAATTCCCTTTTCTTTCACCCACATGATGCATGATCGCTAAATCTTATGCAAGAAGTAAAGCTTTTGTATGGGGAAACAAAATGAGTTTAATTTCAAGTTTTAACGTCTAGAGTAAAAAGGATCTCTCTGCAGCAAGAAAGGGTAGCCAATCCCTCTTCTCTTGGAAGGAAACACCACAAACAAAATGCTCACCAAAAAACCAACGACAAGGGGAACAGTGTTGGTCACCTTTCGTGGCAATCCTGGATAGTAACACTTGACAACATCTTGGTGCAACCCTGCAAAAGCAAGGAAAGACACCAACGAAAGTGTTGCATAGAATAGATCACTCCACCTTAATCTGTATTCTGATGGCACACGTGGTTTCTTCCTTCCTCCATTGAATGTCCATATCCCACTTAATGTTGCCACCCCATAATATAACCTCCCAGTGCCACTTCTGAAGCTGTCTGTAAAGGTAAAGAATACACATGATACTGCCAAAATAGCCACAAAGGTTCCCATCAACCAACGATTTAGTGCGTTGCATTCACCATCATCTGTGAGGAGTGGTGCAAAAATGCTGAAAGCAAGGATTGTGATTGTGGGCAAGAGAACATTGAGCCTAGCAGTGCCACTTAATATAGCATTGATGACATAGAAGTAGTAAGATTCATCAATTTCATAATCATCAAGATCATCAGAATAATTTTCCTCATTTTGTTGTTCGTCACAGTGGACTATCAAACCTTGACTCGTTGTGTTGCTCATCTTCCAAATACAATATTGAGATAAATGAACAAGTGATTCTCTATAATGTTCCTTGGTTTTGGTTCCTTCCTTTGTTGTAATGAAAAATCTTGAAGGAATATATTTTTCCTTCTTCAGCAGTGTTTGTGTCAAAATTAATTTGCTTTCAAGTTGGGAAATCTTTATGCTTTACCATGTTCCCACTCTCCTTAAGAAACCCCGTGCAACAAGCTTTGTAATATTGCAGCTTGTTGCTATAATCCTTATTATTTCTATTTACATTTGTAACACCCACCTTTACACCTATTGGAAAACAACCATTGTTGCTTTCTCTTCTGTGAAATATGTTTGTTTTATATTTTCTCTTTGCACTCCTTATATGTTTTATATATTCTTTTTGCACACCTTAATTTAATACTTTTTCTCTAATGAAATTAAATATAATTCATAATATTTTGATGTTTCAATTTGTATTTATTGTATTTTAATAATACGTGTAAGTTTTTAAATTAAGTTTTTCCAATTCTGTTAGCTTTTATTTTATGTATTATGCATAAAACATATTTAGTTTCTTCAATATACAGAAAACTTCATAACCTGTATACTATGTTTGGTTTCAATTTTTTATTTAATAATTTTTGCAAATGAAATTAAAATTATTACACTTGAATATATAAAATAAAAGCGAAACAAAAAAAGTAATTTCTATATTAAGTTATTAAAATGTAAAAGAAAAATATAAATAATAAATTATTATACTTTGGTGATTTCCCAACACTTTATACCATGTGACTGCATTTTGGCTTTTGACTTTCACATTATGGTGCTTTTGCCTTCTTTCTTTCACCTTTTGCACTTGTACATATGCATCCAACTTTTCTGCATTTTTCATTGATGATTATATAAAATCAAAAGATCAATGCAAGCCAATCTTTGATGATACGAAATATGTGATCATCAATACATAAATGAATAGTGTTTGAAGGTTGAATTTGTTGAAAAATAATATAATTATATTTCAAAAGAATTTATTAATTATTAATTTTATTTTATTATTTTAATTTAATTGTTATTATTACTTATATTTTCAGTTATATATAACGTTTACGTGAACAATTATATTAGTTAAAATATTTTAAATATTTTGAAAAAATTGCACAAAATCGCACGAAAGATGCATAGACTTTTCTGATTGTATAATTTTTTTGAGTTACTATCTTGCTAGTTTTTGAAAGCCTTGTTTTTCAGATAAGAGTTTGTTATATCCTGGAGGATTTTTTACTACACCGAAATAATTCTTAAAGACAATGTTCTACACACCTCAGACTAAATTATTGATCAGCTACTTCGGGTCGATTTTGACAACAGTCTTAAGGATTATGACTGAATCAATAAGTAATGAAACCCCACCAACAATATTGCAAATAACCATGAAACAAACTCAATGTGGATCAACCTAATCTAATTGTTCCCGTAGTCAACTATGCAAAACCTTTCCCAGACATGTCAAAGATAGATATGTTCCAAGGGAAAAATTCAAACGATGGCAGGAGTGTGTCTATTCTATTCTGTTCTTGACCTGCACAGCGTAGCTCATGTGCTCACGCAACCAAAACCAGATTCATCTGCTACCCCAAAATTATTGGAAGACTGGACTTCTACTAACAAGGAAACCAACAAAATTTGGGAGTCTATGATTCTCAAATATATTGCTGAGGATGTTGGAAGAGAGAAGTTCATCATCAGATACTATTATAAGTGGGAGATGAACGATAAAGAAGATATAAAAACTCATATCAATGAATACCACAAGCTGCTAGAAGACATGAAAGCTGAGAAGATCACACTGCCTGAAAATTTTGTTCCTAGACTACTAATTGAAAAACTACTAGAATCTTGGAAGGATTATAAGCAACAACTAGAGCATAAGAATAAACCATTGTCTCTAGCTAAACTTATCACCCACATTATCATTGAGGACACAAATAGGAAGGAAATCAAGGTTGCAAGAGCAAAGGCATTATCATCAAGGGCAAACATGATACAAGCTAATAAGAAAAGGTATGACAATAAACCTAACCAAATGTCTCATTATAATAAACCTTATGTTCCAAAAGTGAATAATCCCACCTTCAAAAATGGTGGAGGAAATTGTTTTTTTTGTGGCAAAACAGGTCATCGTGCTACTTAATGCATACACAGGAAGAGAAGTGACAATTCTTCAAAACCAAATGCAAATTTGGTTGAAAGAGATGACATTATAGTTACGATAATTTCTCAAGCCTTGCTAATGGCTAATGTGAGTGATTGGGTGGTAGACTCTGGGGCTACCAAGCACATTTGTGCAAATAAAAATATATTTACCTCTTACACTTCAATGGGAGATGGAGAAGAACAAGTGTATCTTGGTGACTGATAGACGATTGCCGAGTCGCTATCAAAATAACTAAGTTTGCTAAAGATTTTTGTAGTATAGAGTCAAACTTAGGTCGATTCATGGAGACACATTTTAATTCAAATTCAATTTTAGGTTTTCTTTTAAAAAAATGCAAATAAGGTTTTTGGGATTTTGAAAATTGCAATTAATCAAATTAAATTACAACAAAATTAAAGTGAGTAAAACATGAATTAAGAAATATCAATCCACAGAATACCAATTGCGTGTAACTCTGACTATCACAGTATTTAAAGATTTAAATCCACGTTTGAACAATCACCCAATTCAATTATTAATTTAATCGAATTACCTAATTGAATAGAGTTACGAATTAAATCAAATAATCATTTAACCTAATTCACATTAATTATCAAATTAGAATATTAATCGAGTCCTAATTTGAAATCTAACAACAGAAAAGTCAATCACGATTGCAATAAATAATTCTGAGATTAGAGAGAAAAAGAGAACAGACTCGGAGCAATTAGCACAGAACTTAAATCAGAATTACAACGTTTTGATTCTGTGATTGAACGAGAGGTTTAGCCTTCCATCGAAACGCTTAACCCACGCAAGAATGAGACAAGAACGAGAGAGTTTGAGAGAAAGTAAAAACAAAGATTCTTATTTCGGCCAAGTCTCAAAAGCTCAAAGTGTTTAATCACCTCCCCTAATTCAGAACCTTATTAGTCTATTTATAGGTTCTGATTAGGGTAAATTAAGTGGTCAAAATGCGGGCCTCAATAATATCTAAAAGCCCAAATACAATTATTAAATAACAAGAGTCCAAATGTAATGCTGCAATAATATTCAGCAAATCTACCTTAACTTCAAAAAATCATAAAAAATTGAAAACAACTCCAAATCCAACATTTTGAAGCCCTAGATGTGTAGAATCTAATGCAACTAGAATCAGTAAAAAATGATATCTATAGAAAATTTTATGGCCAAAAGAGTAGTCATAGGTCAGAATAACCAAAAATACGAAATTAAAGCATTTATTTGTAATAGGCCTAATTTATTCAAATAAGCAGAAAATGGTAAAAACTATAAAAATAAAGCATATGAAAAGTGTTTATTAATCAAAATAAAACATTAAATGTAAACATAAAATATGTTGCATCAAATTCCCCCGCATTTAAGATTTTGCCTTCCGGGGCAAATCACAAAATCAAATTATAGGGGACATAAAGCAAATTAGGTTATGCACAAAGCCCATCAAGTTCAAATGTCATGGCTAGAATGGAAATCAATCCTCACACTTCAAATTGACAAATGAACTTATCAAATCAAGTGAATGAACCATAAGAGATAGAATCCTCACACGATATACTCTCAATCACTTAAGTGTATAACGTAAAGTGTGTCACTCAAAATGCACAACATGAAGCATGATCATCCATAAGCTTGCTCATTGCCTACTTCTCCACTAGAATTCACACATACATACAAAAATCAAGAGGACTTTTCTAGGTTATAAAAGGGCAAGGTGAAGGTGGAAAAATTACAATGGTAATTAAGCTAAAACCAAAGAGGATATAAGAACAACGAGGAATAAATTCAAAGAAAGTAAGCATGAAAGTAAATCTCCTAAACAAAGATATAATTAATACAATCCAAAAATAATCCTTTTTTACTTTTGCTAGCCATCCAATGCTCTCTCTCTCTCTCTCTCTCTTTTTAAAGAAGCTAATTTTTCTTTTCTCTTGCATTTTCTAAAGTAATCTCTCCCACACTTGTTTCTATGATCATTTCTAAAATAATTCCAAAGTTCTTGAATCTTTTAAGGTTGGGTCATTTTATTGTTTTACACTTTTGACTTGAAATGAGCTAAGATCACAAGAAATATAACAATTAGGCTTAAGGGGGCTTAAACAATGGAAATAATGCAAGGTTGGCTTTTTGGCTAGTAGTTTGCAAAAAGGAAATGATGTCTTTATCATGTTAATGCAAGCATATGGAAATATAGTCTCAAAAAGGCTCAAGGAAAGTTCTAGTGTCATGTTACTTTTTTGGAGAACTAACTAGTAAGTGTACTAGGTAGTTGTAGCAAGTAATAAAATTTGGAATTCAATATGAGCCCCAAGTATCATCCACAAGGATCTTATTTCAATTACCACTTCATAATTTAACAATTAGTTGAGTAAAACAATTCATTTAAGAGGTTTGTACATGTAAAAGTAAGAAATAAAAACAATAAAAGGTAATAAACTTGCTGTAAAAATAGAATACGAATTTTGTATTAAGAATGCTATATGGAAAATAGTTAGGAATCACTTCACCAGATTTTCAATTGCAATGTAATCATGTTCTGAACTCTTGAGAATTTTAATTGATTGATAATTAATTTCACTTCTTTAACCAAAGGACAATTCCTTGCCTCATTGATCCTAATACCTAATTAAACCTCCCTAATTCCTTAGGTGAAATTAAATCAAATATTGCATTAAGTTCTGGAAATTATAGGATTACTAGATCATGAGACTTATTCCTAAGATCTCAATAACCTAGGCATATAATTCAGATATGAGAAATAAACTCAATTTCCATTGATGAAAATTTTCCAATATCTCAATAACCTAGG